TTTAATAAAGCTGAAGAATTTTACAACACCTTACTCGAACAGACATCTGATGAGGGTGAAAAGGAAATTTATTATAATCAGCTTGGGATTATTCATTGGAAACAAAGTGATTATGAAAAAGCGATTTGCTATTACGAGAAAGTACTTGAAATTCGAGAAAAAACACTTCCTTTAAATCATCCTTCATTGGTTACTTCATACAACGACATCGGTAATGTGTATACATACGTGGGAGCATATTCGAAAGCACTTTCAGTTTACGAAAAAGCACTTGAAATTAACGAAAAAACTCTTCCTTCAAATCATCCTGATTCAGCTAGTTCATACAACAACATCGGTCGAATGAATAACAGCATGGGAGAATACTCAAAAGCAGTTTCATCTCACGAAAAAGCACTTGAAATTCTAGAGAAAATACTTCCTTCAAATCATCCTGATTTGGCTACTTCATATAGCAACATCGGTTTGGTGTATGATAACATGGGAGAGTACTCAAAAGCACTTTCATTTAACGAAAAAGCACTTGAAATTAAACAAAAAACTCTTCCGTCAAATCATCCTGATTTGGCTACTTCATACAATAACATTGGTTTGGTGTATGATCACATGGGAGAGTACTCAAAAGCACTTTTGTTTTACGAAAAAGCACTTGAAATTCGAGAAAAAATCCACCCGTTAAATCATTCTGAATTGGCTACTTTATACAACAACATCGGTAGTGCGTATGACCACATGGAAGAGTACTCAAAAGCACTTTTATTTTACGAAAAAGACCTTGAAATCCAATTAAAAATATTTCCTTCAAATCATCCTTCATTAGCCACTACATACAACAACATTGGCTTGGTGTATAACAATATGGAAGAGTATTCCAAAGCACTTTCGTTTTACGAAAAAGCACTTGAGATTAAATTAGAAACTCTTTCTTCAAATCATCCTTCATTGGCTATTACTTACAATAATATCGGTTTGGTGTATGGCAACATGGGAGAATATTCAAAAGCACTTTCGTTCTATGAAAAAGACCTTGAAATCTGTCAAAAAACTCTTCCTTCGAATCATCATTCATTGGCTGCTTCATACAACAACATCGCCACTGTGTATTGTGATATGAAAGACTATTCGAAAGCTCTCTCATGTTATGAACGTGCTCTGGATATAGTACAGCGTGGATTACCTCCAACTCATCCTCATATAGAAAGTGTGAAAAAAAGTATTGAATTTGTAAAAGATAAAATTCTAAAGAATATTTAATAAATAAATGAAAGAATGTTGCGTTGACTTATTTTTAATTAATTTTATATTTTAGTTCCTCGTGCCTGCGGGTGTGGGTAAGAGGGTGAGCGGAGTTGATAGAGAAGATGAGACACCCACACTCATCCTCAAGATGCTATTAGTCGTGAAACAAATCTTCCATTTAGGATTATCTTTTGTAATATCAGCAAATAAACTCTATATGAGGGTGTGGGTGTGATCTTTTGAATCAGTCGACACTCACTCACATCTACATTCGAAAGAGAGCCTGCTCAAACCTAAAGAAGATAGAGACATGACAAAAAAATTTTCTGCCGATTTCATTTATTTTTTTTACGTTTGATAATGACAAATGCACTTTTTTTCCAAGTTTATCTTTGTTATCTACATAATGGTTACATATAGGCTTTCAGTCAACAGAATACAGCAAGAAAAATGATCAAAGCTAGTTTAAGCAGTTTTTTTAAATTTCATGATTACTAATTCGCGGTGACGAATTATGTTATTAACTTGTGTGATTCAGGCAATATTTACTATTATAAATACTTTTTTCACTTAAGATTCTCCAGTAATAGAGATGAATCTACACGTTTTTTCACCATCAAAGAAGATAAAACACCTATTGTTTGCGGGCTATCTCGATGTTTGTCAAAGATATAAAAATATTTCACCAATTTACTTTATTCGTTCTTCAGTTGCTGTTTTTTGCATACCAATAAGATAAATAGTTAAAGATGAGACATTTCGAAAGGCAGTAGACACCTATAAAAAGAACTGTTTTTAATCATTACCTCACTAATAAATTTTACACAGTAACTCGAATTCAAACCATTTACGCAGCAAACAATGAACAAAGGAAAATCAGCAACAAATGCATCGGCAGTTCCAAAAGGTGCAGAAGGCTGTGGACGTATCAATATCCAACAGGTCCAAAATGTTTTTCTGATCTGGTTAGACAGTAAAATTGACGAAACAAATGGTGAATGTCAAAATACAATCACAAAATTACGACGTGCTGTTAACGACATTAGTACATATACAAATGATGATCAATGCCTCGAATTCATTCAAACAGTCATGGACAGAAAAATATGTATGGTCATATCTGGATCACTGGGACAACACATTGTGCCTCGTGTGCACAGTATGTCCCAAGTCGATTCAATATTTATTTTTTGTGGAAACAGAAAACGTCATGAACAATGGGCCAAAGATTGGTCTAAAATAAGGGGTGTCTTCACAGATATTACACCCATCTGTGAAGCACTCAAGGAAGCTGCTCATCAATGTGAGCAGAATGCTATTCCCATGAGTTTCGTGGGATCAAATAAAAAGTTGGATCAATTAGATCCTTCTTTTATGTATACTCAAATTATCAAAGAGATCTTATTAACCATCAAATTCGATCAAACACACATCCAGGATTATATCGATTATTGTCGTGATGCTTTTAAAGGTAATGCAAAAGAAATTGAAAACATTAATCAGTTGGAACATGAATATCACAACAGAGCACCAATTTATTGGTATACCTGTAATATGTTCTTGTATCCCATGCTCAATTGTGCGTTACGATTGATGGATGGTGATATCATCACACGTATGGGTTTCTTTATCAGTGATTTACATCAACATATTGAACAACTGCATCAAATACAATATTATGGTGCAACTACTGCTGACACCTTCATCGTTTACCGTGGCCAAAGTTTATCTACAGAGGATTTTGAACAAATGAGCGAAATTAAAGGTGGTCTCATGTCATTCAATAATTTCTTATCTACTAGTACGGTTCGCAAAGTTTCACTCCGCTTTGCTCAACGTGCTACAATTAATCCAGATCAAGTGGGTGTACTTTTTATCATGAAAATTAATCCTGCTCAATCAACAACACCATTTGCTTCAATTGCTGGTATTAGTGACTTCCAGAAGGAAGAGGAAGTCTTGTTTTCGATGCATAGCGTATTTCGTGTCCAAGATATTAAGCAGATAGGTGGAAATAATCGTTTATATGAAGTTGATTTGGTACTTACTGCTGATAACGATCCAGAATTGAACAGACTTACAGAATACATTCGAAAAGAGAGTTACCCAAACGCTGAAGGATGGTACAGATTGGGTTTGGTATTATGGAAAATAGGCCAATTTGACAAAGCTGAAGATATTTATCAAGTTTTACTTGATCAAACAAAGAATAATGAAAGCAAAGCACCTATTTATCATCAACTTGGTTCGATCAAAGACGATCAAGGAAAATATCAAGAAGCACTTGCACTCTATGAAAAATCCATTGCTATCGATCAAAAAACACTTCCTCCGAATCATCTCTATTTGGCTTTTTCGTACAACAACATTGGTTTAGTACATAACAACATGGGTAATTATCCGAAAGCACTTTCTTATTATGAAAAAGCCCTTGAAATCAAACGACAATCACTTCCTCCTAACCATCTTGATTTTGCTAAGTCCTACATTTTTATTGGTGCAGTGCATTGCAGCATGAGTTATTATCCCAAAGCACTTTCTTATTATGAAAAAGCCCTTGAAATTCAACAACAATCACTTCCTCCCAATCATCCTGATTTGGCTTCTTCCTACAACAACATTGGTAATGCGCATGCCAAGATGGGTAATTATCCAAAAGCATTTTCTTACTACGAGAAAGTTCTTGAAATCAGTAAACAGTCACTACCTCCCAATCATCCTGATGTGGCTACTTCCTACAACGGCATTGGCGAAGTGCATAGAAACATGGGTGATTATGCAAAAGCACTTTCTTATTGTGAAAAAGCCCTTAAAATTCAACAACAATCACTTCCACCCACTCATCCTGATTTAGCTGCTTCCTACGATAATATTGGTTCGGTGTATGAAAAAATGAATAATTACTCAAAAGCTCATACATCTTATGAGCATGCTGTACAAATTGCACAACAAACATTACCTTCAAATCATCCTGATCTTCAAGATTATAGAAATAACCTCAAACGTATAGAAAACAAATAATAAAGTGTATTGCCATGAATTTTTTTTATGAAAGAGATAAAATAAACTTTTTAAATAAGAAAAGGATTGTTTTAAATATGCGGTTGTGGGTGTGAGCGGAGGTGATAGAGAAGATGAGACACTCACACTCATTCTCGAGTTAAAAAATACTTTAGAGAATTTTAGATGGATATTTCATTAGTTTAAAGCATCGTATATGATCTTTCATTTCTATACATGAAATTATTCTCAAAACAACACTAGATTTATGTGACGGATTCTGATCTGTCCATCATTTATCTCTTTCTTTCATTTCATTTTTTCTCTCTTTATTCGTTTCACATGAACCTATAAATAGCTATGCTATTGTATTGTAAATCAGTCAGTCGATCAGCCATTTCTGATTCGCTTTCCTTTCCTCTCTTGTACCTCTTGTTCCCTTTGTTTAAATATATAATAGAATAAAGGATAAACGTCAACATCTCTGTCATAATTTACATCTATGATGATAATACGAGAAGACTTTATTTGAATTTTCATATTCATAGTAGAATTAAATATACTACGTATTTTTATTTTTCATTTTAGTATATATGAAATACTGCGTATATTTTAAATTTATCTAACTAAAAGTTCTTTTTTTCTTTTTTTAGTTTGAACTCGTTTATAATCATAACGTGAATACTGTACAATACTTTTTTTTATGATAATTATCAAATATATCTTATTATTGAAGCAAAACTTGATCAATATAACAAAACAAATCTTTAAAATGGCAACAACAGATCTGAATAATACTATGTCAATTAAGGAAAAATTTGAACGTAAAATATACTCATTAGACTGCATACCACGTATTTTGGATATGGATGCTCCAGGCATATTTATAAACAAGAATGGACCTTATCCAGACGAAATCGAATCACTCGAAGATATGGATTGGGAGAGAGATAAACTCTTAACACCTAAGCTAATAGCAACTAGCTATGGCGATTGGGAATGTACTATTGGAATGATTAATATAAAACATTTTGAAAATAGAGAAAAATTAGATGATATGTTTATAGATAAAAGTGAACGAACTATTTCAAGAAACTGCTCAAATTTTCAACGAATTTCTATTGACAAAGCTATGAAATTACTCAAAATCAAATTTTCGTGTGATATGAATTGGTATTTGAATAATCAAAGTGCAATTGAAGAGGATTTACAGCGTCAAGTTTTACCTTTGGATTTAAATAATGAATATTTAATGAAAAAGTTAGAACAAGAGTTATTCTACAAACAAATGTGTAAATTATTTGGCGAAATGGAAGATGATGATACAATTTACGAAAAATGTTTTATTCTGAAAGATTTCCATATGCTACATTCGTATGAAAACTATAAGTTTGCCAGTGCTCAACGAGGAAACTATTATCTACTATTTAACTTTGTGTACTAATTGAAAACTTTGTAACTCAGCTCTATTTCATTGATCTTCATTGTTTTATATTCAGTTTAACGAAATAAATCTCCATCTTTATTCACTAAAAAGATCACTACCAGATCTAAGTGTTTACAAGAGTCAAAAATCCAGATTTCATCAAGTCTTAGTATTATAATAACTTTTTAAAATCTTCTTACACTATTTTTGTATAAGTATACAGAATATTAGATACAAACTTCTCTAATTCTTACGATCTTTAAACAATATAAAGAGACATACCAGCACCAAATATGTAGATTTTGAAGATGATTTAGGACTTAAAAGTAATTTCAAACTGAACGATCATGACTCTTCGAACTAGTTTTAAATAAAAAAGGTTTCGACAAACGACATATAGTGATGGGGCGTCGTAATTTATCAGTAGGTTTTCTAAATATGAAGTGGACCACATTTGTTTTACTAGCGTGCTTGACAGACCCAATCATTCTAGAGATACATATGTTGACATTAAAATGGCAGATTTTTTATAGACATATATCAAATATATTATAAGATAGAAAAGAACGAAGTATCAATATTGATGATTGTGAGTGGGTATAGATGTGGGTGTGGATGATTGGTGAATGTAATATGGCTGAACAAAGAAGTAAAGTCACAGTCAAATCACACCCACACCCTATTCAGAGTACGTGTCGATAAGTCAAGAATATAAACTAGATACTTTTTATCGTTGTCGTTGTTATTACAACTCAGTAACACTGAGTTTTCAGATGTCCTGATAGGTTTTTCACTCATCCAGAAACTCATTTAAACTTGTATCAAGTTCTGGACGAATCATATTTCTAAATAATTACCATAGGTAACGATAAATGAAAATAAATAGTGTACTATTGTGGACAGGATCATTTAGTGTATAACTCTATTTGATAGTATATTTCTTCATCTCATGAAATGCGTAATTGCTAAAGAACAATAGAGAATGAAAAAGAAATGATTCTTTCATAACAGATAAAAACTTCTTTATTATTGAATAAAAAGAAACATTGAACATGTTAAATCGAAACAATTACACAATACATTAAATAGAAAGATTTTTTTTTAAATTATATATCTAACAACAGTATAGAACATATGTATTTCTTGTTCATTAATTCACCTATCTGATATCTAATATATATATATATATATATTATTTCGACCATGATTTTCTTATTTTTGCGTTTGTCTTTGTTTTATTTAATTGTACGACAATCAAAGATGTTCGATGTGTGGAAGCGTAAGAACTCATAGAAAAACGACTTTCTCGTCCTCGTCGACATTGTCGTCGATTACGTATTTTATCTGATACTGTTTGTTTTGAGCAAGAAATTAATTTACAAAATTCTCTTCGAAAATCTTGTCCACTTAATGTATATAAAATAAAATTTAATGCATGTTTCGTATACCATAATGATTCAAGTAAATCAAGTATAAGTAATTCCGTATTCGAAAATATTGTGTATGACATTAAACGATTTAAACATATTAAAATAACTGATGGACATGTTAATAATATAAATGTTAGTATAACTGATAATAACATAATTGTCAAACGATTATTTCGTTTTTGTCTTCGAGATGTTATACGTAATGCATTTGTTTTCATTGTCGTACATATTATACCGAGATTTGTAAATATCATAAGTAGAAATGGAATAATAGCAACAAAAAGTAAATCAAATATTGGTTGATATAAATGAAAAAAATATTGAAATTTTGGATGTGCCATACATAAGAAACGATTGTCACCAGGAAAAGTTTCGTTCGACGTATTGTCCTGCATTCGAAGAGATGAAAAAAATGATTTTGTATCGGTTCCTAAAAATAAATAAAATAAAATAAATTAAAGATCTTTTTTTTTTGTTTATTAATTACCTAGGATAAAAAAATAATGTATGTTAAGAAGACATATAATAAAAATAAGAATAAATGTTGTTTTCATTACACGCCATCCTGCATGTCGATATGAGAGTTTATTTATTATAATAAAATAACGATCGAAACTAACAACAACAAGTATCCATGATGCTAATTGTGAAAGTGTTGACGAAAAAAATATATATGAACGACATATCCATAATGATCTATTACGTAGATCAAGATTATATATATATCGATATAAATATCTTGCTGATCTTGTATAAATAAACAAAATATCAATAACAGCAAGTATACATAAATATTGACATGTTGATTGACGACGAAAACGTTTTCGTAAAAGAATTTTTAAACATAATACATTACCAATTGTACCAAATATCATTAAACATGGATAAAATATTCGTACAAGACCGAGACGAATCGCGTCATGCCACATATGATATCTGAAAAACAATTAAGATAATTATGATATTGAAAATGGTAAGTATTTCATTCATGTACAGCTATGTTCATATATTCTCAATATAACGAAATAATGAAAAAAAAACAGGTGCATTTTTTTCTCGTGATATCTATTGACACAAATCCTAATCGCTAATAAGTCGAAATGGTTTCAATTTTGTAATATATCATAAAACGTATGATAAATGCTAAAATTAAGAAATAAAATTTATTAGATTTACCAATGTTTTACGCGTGGGCTTCGATATTTACCCACTACACTTCCATTCTAAAAGAAAAGAATTAGAATATTACATGTTTAAAGTAATTTCTTCTATATATATATATATCTCAATTGTATAACATGTAATAAGGATGGTTTATATAATTTAACACTGATAATAAATAGTTGATGTAAATTTTCATTGTATTTGAAAAAAAAGAATTCTCTATTATATATTAATAAATTTTCTATAAAAGTACGTTTATGGATGTTCGACTGAATAGTCTGCATTCTTAGTCCTATATTCTGTTTAAGCTCAACAACATAGGATACAAAATGTGGAAACAACGTTAGACGGCGTTGTTTTTATATCAGACGATAGTCGCTCCAAAAATAATTCTTTGTGCTATTTTAACGCTTGAGAGCTCTAATTCCTTTATAATCTCACGCTTACTTAATTGAAACAGGAAAATGAATATATAGACACCTCGGTAAAACGATTAAACAGATTTTTGCTATTGTTTGAGCATATGTTTCATTCTTATTGAATTTTCTTTGCTCGACTATTTTGTACCCAACAATTACGAGAGAAAAAAGAAGCTTTTCAGATCTTCAAATCATATTCTTTATTAGATAAAGAATTTGTTTCTTACCATAAAAGCTTATGCAAATAGTGTCAAATGAAATTTTTTGTTATTCTATACTCGTTATAAAACAAATTACAAAATATGTAGCAAACTTAATATTTTTTGTCTAAGTAATTTGAGTTTGATTATAATATTCCAAGATTTTTCTTACTGTAGTTAATTAAGAATATGAGAAATCCACTTTATGATAAAATAATATGTCTCTATTGAACTCAAATATATGATATTCTTTTTTCTTTATTTCAATAGCATAATTGAGTTAAACTAAGTAATGATTTTATAAATATTTCATCATAGAACTTACTTTTGTCTTTTATGTTTAATATTTATAAATAGTTTAAATGACAGTCATTGAATATTAATTTTTTAAAATTCTCTTTTTTTTTTATTTTGCATCACAAAAATAAATTTTTTCTTTTCTTTGTCTAATAAACAAAAATGAAAATTAAAAGAATAAAATACTAATGATTGTGTTTATATATAGATGGTACAAAAAAACATTTTTTTTCTAAACAAATAAATCTGCTAAATTATAAGTTAATGATGGTTCATTATTTTCTTTTGGATTATGTTGATAAAGAATAAGTTCTTTAGTTAAAAAATTAATATGTATTGTACATAATGTTCTGGATTTCACATCGGATTGATTTGAAGAACGAAATATAGGAAATGCTTCGTTTTCATAATCGCCAAGTAAACATATCGCATCCTTGCTATTAAATATTTCACCGAGTTCTTGACCACGTTTCCAACGGCTATGTGATGATTGAAGTGCTTTTTGTTGATTAATAACCTTATCTAAACGTTCATAATGATTATAATGAATAAGATAATTGAAAGCTGTAGAATATTCATCATCATCATCCTTCTTTTCAAGATTATCTTCATTATTAATTATACGGCATTTACTAATATAATTTTCATTATCAATATTTAAATTTGGTCCTATTTCATAATTAAGTAAATAATTGCATTGATGAATAAAACCTCCATTTATACAAAAGCCGTATGCTGCTGGTGACGCATGAATTAATTTATCTAATTCTTCTTCATTTTTTACTGAAAGTAATGCTCGATTAATTATCTGTCGGGGTAAACGACCATGTGCAACAAAATTGGGATATAGACCATTCAATGTACATGCAAAACCATGTTTATTTACACCAAAAGCATTTCCTATATAAGAAAAAATTTAATGCTAATTAAAAACATATATATATATATATATTTACCTGGAATACCACCAGCATAACAATAAGCAATAAATTTTTCTTTCGGACTTTCACGCTTACCATCCTCATATTTACTTGATTGTATATCAGCTTCAACGAGATATCCTGTCATATATAATGCGGTTGAATGATCTTCATTATGTAATAAAGATAATGTATTTGTATCTTTTCGATTAATTAATACAGTTGTACAACCTTTTTCACCCGTTTCATTTTCTAATTGTTTTTTTTCTTCTAATAAACGATAAGCTGTTCGAGTTTCATTTAGAAAATTTAAAACAAGTAATTGTTCGAAAGGAATTGCTGAACCATCAGCTAAACCACGAAGTTCATCCCAATACCATGGATATAATGAACGTGTTGTTTCAAGAAAATCTCGATGTAGTTTTTGACCATATTCAGTTTGAACGAAAGCAAATAAGGGTGTTAAATAGGGAAGATCATCAGCAATACGATGACGAATCGATTCACGTGTTAATTCACCGATAGTATGTGCACATTCGTAATGTGTACCTTTAACACGATACAATGGAATTCTACTAGAGGCCATAGTTTGCCTCTTCTCGACGTTGGCAACAACTATAAAAAAAGAGCAGTATTAAAGTCTGTATCAATAAAGAACAAGTGATATGATAAGAATGCAGAGATAGTTTTATTTTTATATACCTGAAGAAAGTAGACCTCGAATACTATATGTATTAAAGATAAATCTCATTGAGTCACCTGCCCTTTTTTTTCTATCAAATATTTCTATGTTATAAAAATCTGATTATGTAACCATTCGAAATAATTATATATCTATCGAATCTCTAAGAATCATTTTAATAGATCATAAAGATCAATTTGTTTTTTTCTTTTTCTCTTTAACCAAATAATTTATTGATTGGTTAAAATTGAACCAATATCGATGAAAGGAAATATATATAAGATTAACACTGAATAGAGGCATTGTGATAGGTAACGACTCGAGTATGGTAGTTGTGGTTTTGTGCCATGTAACTGGATTCATTTCTACTTTCCAAGGTTCGTTTAAAACATGACGACTGTTGAACAAAATGGGCTTAGCGGTCGAGATCTTCGAATCAAATTATTTGATTTGATGAAATCAAAAGGAATTGTTGATAATACCAAAGTAGATCGAATTTATTATTAAATATAATATTTTACTTATCGAGGTATTTTAGTCTCATCTACGCGGTCGTTTAATTCATGAGTTACGTGGTGGTCTTGATGATCAAATTCGATTTTCATCTTCAACTGTACAACCTACACTTCTTGTTCGTGCACTTAATGCATTGATTGTAGATTATTTTCAAGGACAAAAATATGATTATACAACAAGTGTTTTTATACCTGAAGCAAATATTAACGATTATAAAGTATATTTAAATAATTATGATTATTTTAAATAGAAATTAATTTTACTTCTTATATTTAGATAATGTCAGATGAAGAAATTCTTCGTCTACTTAATATATCAACAGAATCAACTTTTTATAAGAAAATTGTAAGAATATTCAAAAGAAATTTTTTCATTTATAATTTTTCGTTTTTTTTTGTAATCAGAAATCAAATAGTGAAATTAATGGTCATACAAGTCTATTAATGTCTATGTTAACATGTATAGCATCATGGTTACCAGGTTCATGGCAAAGTAGTGGAACACAAACAGCTAATGATTTATGGGCTGGTTCGATTGCTGGATCAACTCTTGGTTAGTTATCGCTGCTTGTGATTTTCTTCAATAACAAGTATTTTATTTAGATGAGAAATTAAATAATCTTGATGCGATGTATAGCAATCGTCGTGATGATTTAACATCTATACATAATCTATCAACAGAAGAAAAATTATTATTATTTCAGAAAAACATCGAATTAAGAACAAAAGAAAGTCTTCAACAACAAGTAAATTTGATTTTTTTTCTATACATGAATAAAAGAAAAGATATTATTTAGATGGATCAATTTCGTGACAACGAAATAAAAAAAATTCGTGAAGATGAACGTCGTAAATGTCAAGTGGAATTACAATCACTTCGAAAAGAAGTATATAAATATGATTAAGTTTTAATATCTTTGTTTTTGCTTTTCAGCTTGAAACACTTTATAAATCAAAACACGAAACATTAAATGAAAAAGAGATGCGTATAGGAGATCGATTTAAAGTTGAACTTGAGGTTTGTTCAATAATTCTTTATATTTTTATGATTTATTCGTTTTTCCATTATAGAATGAAAAACGAGAATTATATGCACAACGACAAGCATTTCTTGATGAATTAAAAGCAATGAAACTTCGAGAAACAGAAAATCAAAGAAATCTCGAATTACGAGAACGGTAATATATTTAGTCTTATTCCAGTACATTTATTACTATTGACTTAGCAGTTCTTGTACCATATAAATTCATATTTATTACGTTAGTTATAGGTTAATAGGCTTTTCGAGATCGTTAGAATCGAATTAACCTATGTGAAAACCTTTGCTTTTATGAGTAATGTACTGGAAGAAAAGGTCAAAAATGAATGTGATTGAGTTTAAAGTCTACGTTAGATCAATTCATTGTAGTTTATTACATCTACTACATATAGATAGAAAACAAAAGCATATGCGTGATATCTTTTTTATCATAATGTTAGTTATTTTATCAAGAAATCTAAGTAATATCTTCAATAGAATACATTACAGTTCATGTATATATATTTAGATCTTTAACATTAGAAGCTGATCGTGTAAAACGTCTTGATGATGATATACGTAAACGAGAAGTAGTATTATCAAATACTGAAGTACATGTTGATCAACAAGTACAAATGAAATTAAACAAGTCTATATTTATTATAATTATATATATATATCTATGAAAATATTTTTATTATCATATTAGATTACGACTTGAAATTGAACAACAATTTAATGAACGAAATAAAAATTTACAATTAATTGAAATGAGAAATCAAGGTGAAATAGGAAATTATTTAAAATAATATCATCATTTTCTGTTTTTTTTTTAAATGAATAGAAGAAGCAAGACGACTTAGTGAAGAACGTTTAACAGCTGAACAAACTAAAACAGAAGTTGTATCAATGCGAAAACATTATTCGGAAGCTGATGTATACTTCTAATGAAAATAATATTAATGTATTTATTTGTTTTTCTAGTCAAAAATACATCGTTTACACAGTGAACTTAAAGTTCTTCAAAGTGAAAACGAAATTTTACGTGAAAAAGCTAAACAAGTAAATCTAAAACTAAAAATTCAGAAGAACAAAATTATTTTAGCGGATGGAATACAGAATAATCTTTAATAGATAATTTGAAATCATTGATAACATGTATAGATTAATATCGATATCATGACAGTTCTATCTCGAGATCTGTCATGGCTAGACATATATACAATCAATTTTTTTTGTTTTCGGTAATCTTGTTTTAATAGCCATAATTCCGGTTCCGTTCTGTGTACTTTTAATTTTTTTGGGCTTTAGCTCCGGTAACTTTTTTTTAATGGCCTCGATCTTGGTTCCGGTGCACTTTCAGTTTTTTTCTCCTCAATCACGATCTTAGTATTATCGTTACGTTGAATATAAATAACCTTATAAATGTTTGTTTATAGTTCATTCAGTTGACGAATGTTATATTTTCTTCGGGCTTGTTCTCATATTTCTCTAGTTATAAATAATCTTGAATTATATGCAGAAACTAACTGTCGGAGAGAAAACAAAAGATGATTTTATTTATTTAGGTATTTGATTATCAATCAATTCGAGAAGAGAATGCTGTTTTAAAATCACAAATGAATAATACAACAAGGTAAAACGAAATATATATAATTTTATCTTTTGAATTTATTTATTTCATATTGATTAGTCGATCACAACGTTCTCGTATGTAAAATTTCTTAAAAAAATCTTTTTTTCTTATTTTCGATATTTAAAGATCGACATCATTATGATAGTAGTAGTTCATCACCGCATGAACGATTAAGTAATTCAGTAAGTATAGGAAAAAAACATAGAAATTCTTTTCTATTGCGTTTTTGGTTTTGCTAGAAAGGAATTGTGCGTGAATTGAAAAATGTTCTCGATAATCAAGTTGTTGGTCAAAAAGTTGTTAATGATGAATTAGTTGATTTAAAAACACAAATTGCTTTATTACAATCGTCGAATGAACCAGAACCTTAGTAAATATTTCTTTCGAGCAAAAAAATGATTTTATTTTTTCTCTAAAAAAGTTTTAATGGTCGTTTTGCAAGTAATCATGGTGGCGATTATTTATCTCATATTATAAAATCAGCAAGTGATGTTCAGTTAAATCAAAGTCGATATTCAACATCATCAAATTATAATCAATTTATTGAAGATGCAAAATTACGTATGCATGAACTTGATCGTGAAGCTGAAGTTGGTTGAAAATTTTAGTAAAATTATTTTTATAATATTGTACTTTTAGAGAGTTGAAGAAAGTTATCGTGACTACCAACATCGTATTATGACTAAAACTTCACATATAAATAATTTACAACCAACAGGTAACCGCAAAGTCATTAAGGACAACTCAATTATCAAAGAGGTTTTTTATTCTGTTTTATTTTTATTGATGAAGAAAGAGAGAGAGAGAGAGAGAGAGGGAGACTCTTACATATAACGTATGAGTTAAATATAACAAAATAATAAAACAAAAATAGAAGTAAGAGTGTCTGACAGAGACAGTTGTTTTAGCTCTGCTAATCAAACATGATGGTCTATTTTAGTTTTTTTTAGTTTACTTATTAGTCATTATATTAGATGCGTGTTTGTTTACATTCTGTACTTTTAGTAAAAGCGTGCAATATATGAGAGGCGTCTATCTATTTCTCTATTGTATGCTTTTTTTTCTCCTCTTCTTCTATTCTTTCGCTACTTAATCATTATTACATCGAATGACGTTGCATATTGAAAAGGTGCGTGTATGTATTCATGTTATGTCTAAATTTAATGGGCGTTTATTTATTTCATTCATTCTAACACGCGTGTACTGTATGGCGTTAGATATAAAAATCATTCTTTATTTTCATTTCTACCACTAGTCAAACAGGTTTGTTAGTACAAAAAGAGTAATCAGTAATTTGAAATGAAAGAAGAAGAAGAAGCGTTGCATATATATTTAATTTATAACCTTTCTTTTAAACTTGATGTACCGACTGCTAGTTCTATCTTTTCTTCTTTTTTTTTCAAACAACGTAGATATACACATCATTTTTTTTTTGCTTTTTTTTTCTTTCTCTTTTCTAACGATGAAAAAGTGGAAAGAACGATAGAGAAAAAGAGTAGGAGAAGAAAAAAAAGAGAAATCTACAATCTTTTTCCTTGTCTATCATTTTCTTTTGACCGTTTTTCTGAATCGCGCATTCGTATATATTCACTATCTATTATTGAATGAACGATTTTTTATATATTTATATATTCTAGTACCTAATGCTTCTATCAAATCCAAGTAAGTTCTATAATATATCAAGCAAATCTCATATTTACCCGATTTCCTGCATAAGATAGATGAGAATAAAGAAGCCTTTTGGTTGAATAATTTAATTAAAATCTTCAGCGAGCTTCCGTTGACGTCAAATAAATCCCCCAAAAATAGTCTCACGATATACTACTAGACTGTAAAATTTCCTAATAACTAAAATATAGAAAAAACATAGACGCGAAAATGTCGTTCTGATCATGTTTGTAATTCTAACTTGTTAACATACATTATTAAATTCTATTACTATTGAGAGTTTTTCCTATGTCTCGTCTATTATTAGATAGAAGATTTAGTATTTCCATATAAATCAAATGTAAAAATCAACTGTTTAAATAGAAAGATTTAGCCTTAAGGTATTTTATACGAGTAACTTCGAACAATATTCTCGTTTATATATATAACTGTTATACAATATTTGATTGACACATAAAGAAGAATAGATTCGTCGTCTATCTATAGAATAGTTGAGTTGATTGCGGAAGTGAATTGATGTCTTGGATGAACATTTTGTTTTTTCATGTTATTCAAGCATTATAAAAAAAGGAAACCATATAAACAATAGAAAAGTGATATTTTATTTGATACTTATTTACCCATATTTTATAGAATGTTATACGGTATGTTTTTTATTATTATTGATGATCAAAAACTATCTATAATAGAAAAGTATATCATTGTTTTTGAACAACATTTTTCTTTTCATCATGTCTTATTTAATTGAGTTAAGAACGAGAGAAAAGAAGATCTTTGTGTTTTTTACTCATCCTGATTATTTTCGATCTTGCGGAGCAGAAGACAAAAGATAAAGAAAAAGAAAAGAAAAGAAAGACGACAAGTATTGACGGAACGAGTCAACACGGAGAGAAATAATAATAATAGTAATCGTCTTTACATTAAAAATATACATTGATTGAATCGTAAGAAACAATAGAGAATGTTATTGATATGTTAAATAAGTTCGATTACAACGACTTAAGAAACTTCTTATTTTTAGTCATTATTTTTCTTGAAAAACAACTTGAAGTATTCTATTTATAAAGTATTCAAAAAGCAAATTATTAGTTTCCTGTATCTATCGATCTGTTTATAGTATTTTCCGTTTTTAATTTAAGTTAATCAATGAAACTTTTTTCGAAAAAAAATATATTTGTAAACATGTATATATATATTTTTTACTTAATAAATGAAGAAAAAACGGAACATAAAATGCATAATGTCATCCTGTCATTTTACAGTTATTTCCGTGTAGGCACAACACAGATTTTTTTTCTTTCTCTCTCTTCCAACAAAATGAATCAAAGAGGATTTCTTGATTCCTATTTATATCAAAAGAAAAGTTTTTTTCTTTTTTTTTTTTTCTTCTTCTTCTTTCATGTCATTATTCAATGGTCGTGCACATTCTTACCCTCGACAAGCTTTTTATCTTTCCATAACGTTGAATCGAAGACGATTACTGTCACTATTTTTTCTTTTTGTCTCATCAAAACTATAGAGAAAAGTCATCTTCATAGAAGTATATGAAGAAAAAAAGAAATTATCAGTGATAGACATTCTATGCAAAGAAAGAACATAACTTATTCATAAGACTATCCTTCTTTTCTTTCTTAAGAAACATATATCAGCATAAGACTCATACATAAAAATGTGTGAATAATTCTAGTATGTAAGGTATATTGTTTTTTTAAAAAAATATAATCTTACATTCAAAGGGAGAGGAATGTTTTTTTAGACGACCCTTCGTCATAGTTCTAGAAAATATTTAGAACGCAAAAAAGGAAAAGGATCGACTTTCTTTCACACCTCACATCATCATTATTCAATGTATGCATAGATATCAGTGTTAGGTGCATTTTTTTACAATATATAAATAGAAAAAAAACAAATCATTCCTCTTTACACAAAAAATTATTAGCATGATCACAATAAGAATGTATATAGAAATATTATCTTGTTCTTTCTTCTCTTATGTGGGTGTGCCCTTTTATGTCGTTTAATTTTAGTCTTAAAAAGTTATTATTTAAATCACAGATGGTATTTTTTTTCTCTTCTTTCTAATAATAAGTTTTTTTTTCTCGAATCTTTGTTAATATCAATAAATATTTTTCTTTAATACCACCATACGTGTCAAAGATAACTTATCATTAAAAACGAAATAATAACAGCTGGATTCTTTTTTATTCATTCTACATTCTTTCTTTTTATTATGTAATAGAAATTGATTATTCATCAACAAGACGTGTGCCGACTGTAAAATTAAATACACAAATACAAGGAACAACAATAAATACAAATACAATGCCTGCATCAACATCATTGCAAGATATTAACTCACATACACATAAATTTAATTGGAATAAAGATCAACCATTAATTAATTTATCTGAGTAAGTTTAGTTATTTTTAAAAAAAATTGTTAATAAACATAAGTGAGAAGCATAGATTTTACAATGTTCAAAAAATAGCTATTCATTAGAAAATTAGACTATTATAATAGGTCAAGATGTTTGTATCTTTTTTTATGCGTACTTGATATGTTATTAGTGCGTATGATTAGAAGAGAGATCGATAGTTCAATTATCTAATATATTTCCACAGGCGATATAAAGTACTAGAAAGCTATTTTTGTTGTCTTTCAGTTCTATTTATATCTGATACTATATATATACACCCTAATCACAAAATGAAATCTCATCATCTATACGAATGTAATCCTGGATTAGGAAAATATAAAGAAAAAGTTAGACGGAATTCCGTAAAATCTTATCTTTAGGTTCTTATAGGCTAAAATTAGGATATGATAAATAGAAGTTACTAATGAAACTGTTCTTTGAGTCCATCGAATTAGAATCCATACAACTTGAGATCATACCGAGATTTTTTATATTCAAATTTTACACTCATGAAAGATTTTAAATTGAAATTAATATATATTTATTATTTTAGGAGTTTATTAGCATCAAAAAATGGAACAAATAATAGACATAAAACATTTTCTCATAGTGATGATCGTATCTTTGAACATCCTGAAATAACAATTAAACCATCAACATTTGATAATAAAAGTTCACGACGTTCATTAATAAATACAAAACCAATAAATACAAATGAAAATAATAGTGGTACTGGTAGTGTACCAAATATTCTTGAACATCCTGATATGAGAACACCAGTTGTTATGGAAAGTCAACAAATATCATTATCATCATCATCTTCATCAACATCATCAACTAGTAGTGGTAATAATAGAAAAATAAGTCGACAACAATCAGGTAAAATAATTCTACGAAACACAAAAAACAAATTAATGAATTATTTTTTGTTTTATCTAGCTGATGTTTATACAACATTAGCAAGAACAGTATCACCTGCTGGCCGTGATAATCATCAAACTAATTTAGGTATTATTAAAATCAAAATCATTCGTTTTCTACATCTATTACTTTTTTTTTAGTTCGAACGAATTCACCAGGATCTATAATTGATAATATTATGGAAAATCCTGAACAAGAAAAGGTTAGAAAACTTTTTTTTTGTTTTTATTTTCTTCTTGACAATTTGTTGTAATTTTAGAGTGAAGATAGTAGTTCATTTTCACCACCACCAATGAATAAAGCTCCAGTAAAAATTATTCGTGAATATTCTGAACCAAGCTCAGCATCAGAAATTGATCGAACAGGCAAACATTCCAATAAAAATAATAAACCACTATCGGAAGAAGACGATTTTTGGTGATGATAATCATGTATTTCTTTTTTTCTTGTTGCTCATCTAATTTTACTGTTGCTGTTCAATTTTTTTTTTCATTTTATGTGTACATAGTACTCATGAGAAAACAAGAGAAAAGAAGAAAAAAAAATCAAGCATATAATAATTCTTTAGATTGTTTTTTTTTATTAGTCTATTCTTTTTTCTTTTTCTTGAAATCATCTTAACGAGTTAGTGTTCGTGTCCATTGATCAAGATTTGATATTGTTGTTGGTGGTGTTAAAAATGTTTTTGATATAGGTGTAATATATTCTTGATTTGTAAAAAAAAGTGGATTACTAACACCTAAACGATATGGTTGATATCGTTCACTAACACGTTCACCATAAGGAGTATATGATTGTGGACGAAGTGTTAAACCATACCTTCAATAATAAAAGGAAATATTTGAAATGAAAACATAAATAAATGAAATTTTACCATAGAAACCAGATTACTATAAAAACTAACATTAAAGAAAATACATAACCAAATACAATAGCTAGTGGCCAAAGATTATATGTATTATCATCATCGGAATTTCCATTCGTATCACTCGATAGAGCTATTCTTGAAGTGGAATTTATATTTATTTCACATCGTCCGCCAGAATATTGTTCCAAACATGAACAAGTATAATTTTTTGAAGATAATAATGAATGACATGTACCATTTGATAAACATGGATTTGATTTACATGGATCAATATTACATGATAAATCTAATTAATAAAAGACTCTTGAATACAAATGTACTTTTTCTTTTTTTTCTTTTATATTAAAATAAATCTGGAAAACATGAGTATTCAGAAGTTGTTTTCTATTTAAAACTATCGATTGTAAGTCAGTAAAAGAGGATTATTTATGTTCATTAAAATATATCGATTAGACATCATTTGAGTATAAAAACAAATAACTCCATCGTCTATCGTATTGCGTCGTTTAATTATATAAAATATCTTTAATTACATCTTATTTTTTTCAAAAGAATTGATTTAGTTTTAATTAAATAAAATCTAGTGGCTGGAAGAATAGGTATTAATGTAATCTCTATGGATTTGACACGGAAAATATGATAAAGTATTATCTAATGAGAATACTTCTTCAGATGCTAAAAAATCTTTAAAATTTCAAGTTTTTATCTATGCGTAAAAGATTTCTATACTAAAAATATCTGAAGAATATATAGACTTGAGATAACAATGTTTTATATAATTATTATATATGTCAAGATGTTCTTTATAGTTTTACAATTTTAAATTATCATATATGAAGTGAATTCATGCGATTATAAATATGTTCTTTTATTTTTATCATGTTTCACATGAGAAACTTTAAGATATTTTTCATATCGACGAATATCTTTAACTTCGGAACAATATTTGACCTAAAAGTTTTTTTCTCCTCTCAAATATGTCATGAAAATGTCATGTAAAAGTGCCCCTGATAAATAAAACTATTTACATATATTAAAATCTAGTTGATCGATTCATTCTATTAGTCTGATGAATATTTAAAAAAATAATGAAAATATTAATTCTTTTTGTCAAATGATGTTAGAACTATTTTTAAATCATATTTTTTTCATTATGAAAATTTTTCTCGGTCTAACATTTCCTGTCATACCATATCAATTCTTAAAATTAAATTTTATAATTACTTACGATGTACTTTTATAGTAACAATTTTATTTATTACGTTCTTTGTTATGTCTATTTCGGTTTTTTGGAATACAGAAAATGATATGTCAAGTTTTATCTTACGACTAGTGGATCATATATATGCTGTATAAAATATTCATGTGTTACGCGATACCCTTGAAAGCTAGTCCACCCCTAGTTATGCCACTAATTCTACAACTCTTACTTGAAAGTGATATACAGGCAGTTTCAAATAACGAACGAGGGAATCGCACCAACTGTCCAATCGCTTTTCTAATAAAAACCATTGGGATAGAGATTATCAACCATGCTGATTCCGAATATGAGCATGATAAGTGTCTTTAGGCCTTTATAGAATGGTTTTGTAGAAAACCGGTTTCCAAAAACCACATACTTTTTACTACCCAAACAGGCACGATCTTTAGAAAAACGGGTTCAAACAGCGTTTCAAGGATAGGCCACCGTACAAAAAGGCGTTTCTACGCGTTTTCTAAAGATTATGTCTGTCTGGGTGGTAAAAAGTATGTAGTTTTTGGAAACCGGTTTTCTACAAAACCATTCTATAAAGGCCTAAGGATACTTCTCATGCTCATATTCGGAATCAGCATGGTTGATAACCTCTATCTCAATGGTTCTTATTAGAAAAGCGATTGGACAGTTGGTGAGGTTCCCTCGTAAGTATTATATATCGAATTCGAACTAACATACCACTACTATTTGTACAATTATTCTTCTTTGATTCACAATATAATCCTGTGTAGAGTGGTCTACAAATACATTGTTCTCGATTGGATTCATCACGCTAAATAAAAAATAAATTTTTCTTTGGAATCAATTTATTTTTCTTTTACCAGACAGAAACCACCGTTAAGACAAGGACGATTACATTTGTCATTATATGGCGGTAAATAATAAGGGACTGAAAAAATTGTATAAGTATAAAAATAATTTGTGAAATAAGAAAAAATTTTACCTGGATATTCACAAAATTTGCCGGTATAATGTGGGCGACATATACATTGAATAAGTTGACTGGGTTTTGTTATACAAAAACCTTGATGTTGACAAGGGGAACTTTCACATGGATTTTGTTCTTTAATAATTAAAAACAATTAAATTAAATTAATAAAACAAAAAATGATTTGATTCAACATGCTGGGTTTTTTTCTAGTTCTATTCTAAATCTAAACTTACGAAAAGTTGTTATTCTTAAAATTTCTATCGAAATAAGCAGGAAGAAAAATTTATGAAAAGAAAAATAATTTATTTATTTACATACCTATTTCACAATAGATTCCAATAAATGAAGGTGGACAAATACATTGATATTTATGTTCAGATAGAGCAACACAAGTTGAATTATGAAGACATGGTGTACTTATACATGGTGTATATCCTAAAAAAAATAGATTTTCTATTGGATAATATGTTTTAAGTTAATCATACTAAAACTATGAGCACTTAATGGTGTTGTAACAGGTTGTTCATATATACTTATATTTTCCTTTATAATATATTTTGTATTTAACCAATTAAGATAATTATGCATATCAGTAAGATTTCTATTAATAATTTTTATTGGTTTTGTTGTATGAATGAATTTTGCAGATGTTATTGTTGGTCTAGTTGTTGTAGAAACTAAAAAAAAACAAAACAAAAATTATTCTATAGAATTAATTCGAATAATTATTTACCTGTAGTACTTAATAATGATTGGGAGCAATCAATGCCAGTCCAATTTCTTTTACAAACACAAATTTCGGAATATAAATCAATTTTAAAACATTGACCATGAATACAAGGTGTTCGTTCACAAGCATTAATAATAGCTTTATTTTAGAAATAATTAAAGAAAGGAATTATCAATAAGTAAATTTAAATATTTCATATCTTACCAACTTCACAGTTACGACCACTATAACCTGATCGACAATGACAACGATAAGCTGTTGTTGGATTTACATCAGTTAATGTTTCACATGTTGAATTATGCAAACACGGACGACTAGCACAACCAGATTCTCCTATTTATGTTTGAAAAAAATAAAAATTGAAATAATTATTTTGAATTTAAATACAGGGAAGTACTGAGGGTGGAGCATGATGCCTCTCTCCGTTTAGATTTTACGTTGAAAATAGTAGAACTATGACCTATGTCTACCTCTGATCTTATCTCTATATAACTGACAAAATAAACATACTTATTGTTAAACTTTGATTACAATTCTCTGATATCCAACTATTATGACATAGACATTTTCCATTTGATAAACAATCACCATGAATACAATTCAATCGATTACATGTCGATACCAAAGTTTTTATTTTTGTTCCTAAAGGAATCGATTTTAATGAAATTAAACAAAATAAATCTACTGATTATTTACCAGTCTCACAAGATCGTCCAGTGAATCCTTTCTGACATCGACATAAATAACTTCGAAGATATACAACACATGTACCATTATTTAAACATGGTTGATTTTCACAAGCAAGAACTTCTTCAAAAAGCGAATAAAAATAAAATTATCTTTCTTTCTAAACTATTTCATACCACTTAAACAATCTTGTCCGAAATATCCATATTTACAAATTTTTTGTCCAGTATTTAAATCACAATCATAACGTTGTTCATTTGGTAAACAAAATATTTCACAATCAGTTCCATAATAATTTGTTGAACAATAAAGCTAAAATTAAGTTATTGTTAAAAATATATTTAGAACAAAAATGTTAAACTCAACTGAAAAATCTGCTGTTAGATTCGTATAAGTACCAAATAAACTACGTAAATAAATTCTTTGTGCTTTTGATTTATTAAATGATGGATAAATATTAAGATCAAGTAATGTTCTTCCATAAAAATCAATTGAATCATGTATTGTATGATTATTTTCATCATCAACATCAAAAACTTCAACAATTAAACCAATACCTGTCTGAATAGAGAGAAGAAATTTTAAATGGAAAATTATGAAAAAGATTTACTTTCGGATATTTAAAATGAAAATGAATAACGGGTTGAAACCAAAGAGAATTATGTAAAGATGTTGATCGTTGTTGTGCGTCAATTTTATCATTTTGTTGTTGTTCAATATCAATAAAATGTATATCATCACCACCAACCAAACCCGTAAAATGATCACCTAATGTACAATTATGTGGATTTTGAAAAGGTAAACGTACAAGACAAAATAAAAAAGCGGTATCACATCGTCCATCATGATTGATATCATGTTCATATCGTGTATCACACGGGCGATTTTCATATGTTAAACCATTACGATTTTTATAATGAAGTAAACGTAATGAAAGTGTTATTTCACTTACTGATAACTAAAATATGTATATATTTAAAACATAATTAAGAACGAAATGGATGAAAACTAACTTTAAGAATTGCAAAATTATAAACAAGAATAATTATTAACCATTGGACCATCTCGTCCTTCCGTACATACTCATAAAAAACAATATAAATGATTCATTTTCATGAGATCGAAATGTTATTAAAGATTGACGTCAAATAAATGCAATAGAATTGAATGAAAGTTATACATTATATGTATGTATATGTGTAATGATCAATATTGAATATATGTTCTATTCTTTTGCTAAATGAGTGTTTATCTTAGGTTTATTAGCCGAAATGCGTCCAGACGTTCTTGTCTTCGTTGTTTCTTTCGTTTGTATAGCGACCGTCAAGTTAATAAAGATGAAACTTTTGATCTTTTTTTTTTGGCTAGTCATTGTCTCGTACATATCTATATAAGAAGACAACAAGTACTAAAGTCTAAACGAACAAATATGTCTATGTATACTTATATTGATATGTTATTGTATAACATCATCAGACATTTTTCATTGATATTATTGAGAAAAACGACATAGATGATAGTAAATGAATGGATATATTTAATCTCTTATGTAAATTGAGAAGATTAAAAGAACAACTATAATGAAGTGTATTCAAGAAATAAGAATAAATACAATTACATGGAGTTAATAAGTGATCAATTAAATAAAGAACTTTATTATTTCACTCAAGCATTAATTACAAAATAAAAAAATTTTATTCAATAGAATCATTGTTAGCGACAGGGTTTTTAATGGAAATCTAAAACAAAGTGTATATGTACATTTTGTTTTCGTATTCCAGGTGTATCAAAGTGTACACACTTGATGTTTAATACAAAATACAGAAGTAAAAAATCGAAGAATGTTCATACTTTTCTTTCGTAAAACAATTAAACAATGTTAGATAAATAAATACACAATAAATGCAAGTGCAATTATCTACCCAATATATGAACGATAATTAGTATCCAAAGAAGCAGCAATATTTCATTGTTTAGACATAACTTTTAAGATTCACAGTAGTCTTGAAAACTCACAGCATTAGAAGCAAAGTGTTATTTCGTACACTCTAGTTTTTGGGACAAACGTACCGCAGCGTGTATTTCAAGAGGAGCAAGTGTTCTATACATTTTGATTATACTTAGTACACTTGCCATTAGAAACACTGGTTAGCGATATGATAAAATGCTTATTGAAGTTTCATATGAAATAACATATTTCTAACTAAAATTCAATATTAATACTTATATTATCTTATTCCTATAATTCTTAAATATCCACATTTACAAATTCGAAAGACATTGAAATGACGATCTTATAAAAATGAAATATAATAAAATGATCGTACATTCTATTGTATATTCATTATTAAATGTATGTTTCGTTTGAAAATAAATAATCATCTTTTATCATATTTTTATATAAATGTCATGTTTAGTACATTAAATCAAGAATATTTAATTTATTTTACAATATGATTAAATGAGAATATGGAAGGATAAAAGAAATGATAAATATATATCTTCTAAAAATAGATAAACTAAATTTAAAAAGCAATTCAAGTTAATCTTGTTATTCTGATTGTTTTTTGTTCAAGCTCGAAATACATCAGGAAAAACAACTCGTGAGCCTGGGGCTGGTTGAGTAACTACAGTTGGACCATTTGTTCTGTATATATCACGACTTCGTGCTTTAAGAAAAAAAAAGATATTTTTTAAAATAGAACTAATGTTATTTTATATTCTACCTCTTGATTTTAGTTCTCGAGCTTCTTGACAAAGTGCACATGCACTACAACATATTGTTGTTAAGGCATCTCCACATGCTGGATTAGGTCTTAAATCATAATTTTTACGTAATTGATCACGTTCGAACCAATGGGGTAACCAACAAAGATAACAACCTGCTAAAATTGAATATAAACAACACATTCCAACACAATGATGATCGCTAATTTTTTCTGCATTTGAACCAAATAAACATGGTGTACACCATGTTCCATAACAACATGAACCCCAATCATCAAAACAACCAAATAAAGATTCTATAATTAATTTTAAATTAATGATCATCAAAATACGTTAAAAAATAAACAAAACTCACCGTTCCAATCATTAACACCTGACATATTTTACGATATGAAATCTAAAAATAAATATGTTCTAATGAGTATCACATACATATATAAATCAACTTAAATTAAATAAAGAAGTACTATGAGTTCTTCCTATTGTCTAATCTATTTACTTGAAAGGTTTTTGTTAGTCTTTTATATTTCACACTAAACTCATCTGAAATAAAGAATCGCGAAAATTTTTATTCTAACGCTTTTAATCATGTTTGAGAGAGAAATATGTCCATCTATTTGACTTGTTTAGTTCTATAGAGAGCAAACAATATTTAGTCAATGCATTGTTACTCTATACTAACGAGAGAGCGTATTCAAGCAATCCGATCGATTAGATTCGACAGTTTTCACTATAAAAATCAACAATGATTTATCCTTTCGTATCTTTGTTACTCCATCAATACTTCTATTAACCTAGATAGTATATAAAACTTGTGAATAAAATAAACTACATATTCTCTCTACGATGTTCTTTAAATAATGGCTATACTTTGTGAAGATTACACTCAAACATTAACACGTTTTGTATGCAGAATAATCTAATGAAGGTCTTCATGAAAATTTTTCTTTTGCTGAACTCTTGCTTTGTATGAAGAATACTAATTAAAAAACTAGGTAAAAAAAATAAAATAATGACAAATCTACTTATTGTCAAAACATCGAGTCTAAATAATATGAACACGTAAATATATTTTCTCATCAATCACATAATAATACATTCCAATTTACGCTTTAATAAATATATAAATGAATATATATACATATAATATTTTTTAGTAAAATCTAGACTTACATTAATTAAAGTATATTTTTTCGACTATTATTAAGTTCGATATATAGTTGAATAAAAAACAGTATGCTCTTTGAAGGTCACGAAAGGTAAAAAAATAAAATATGTATTTAGTATAAATACTCAGGGAGTGTCTTTATATTTATTTTTTTCTTTTTGCATTACGTTCCAATACATTATTGTACGTATTCATAGTTAAGGCTTCTCTTCGCATGTTAATTTCTTTTTTCCTTTTGCCGTATATCAACAGAATTACTTCTAATACTATTGGATCAAATCGTTTTTTAAAATAAATATATTTCAGCAGACCTCTTTACACATTGTTATATGAGAAGTATGTTATGCGATACGATGAATCTCATTCTAAACAATTTTTTTCTTCTCTCTCTTATAACGAATGCATGTGAAGAAATCATTAATATGTATATTAAAATATGAATACCGTTTTTGATGAATAATACGATTTTATTGTATTTGCACAATTAATTGGACTGAATATTTATTTTCGATATTCTTTAAACCTTCTTAAATATGCTGCGTTTGTTTTTCTTTCTTTTTTTGTCAGTAGTTGTTCTCATTGCAGAATAAATTTAATAAATGTCTTCTGGACATGTTATAATGATGAGTTTTATTGAGTTTGACAGGCAATGGTAAGAGACATTTTTATGAATGTTTATTAATAGTATAAAAAATGATGCTATTTCAAGAAAAATTATTCTTCAGTTAAGTTAACAAAAAATATGTAAAAAGTTGAGGCCTTACAATTAATTATGAACAAACTTTGTGGGGAAGATTATGCTCATGTACTGGAAAATATCATACAAGTAAAAAAAATGTATTCCGCTTGTCACCGTCTGAATAATTATTTTACATGCGTTAATTATACTGTCTTATATTTGATTGCAGTGTTATAATGGGATACTCAATCGATCATTGATGATAAGCCTACTGATACTGACGGTCGTAATATTGTAATTCAAGATCAAATAGTTACCTTCATTCATGTCACTCGACTTTTCAATTATAAATTGAATAGTGAAGCCTTATTTTTATCTTTAAACTAAAAATATAAATAAAAGTATTTCCTCTGAATAATATACATCAATAAACAACATCTATTCTATTTCTACCAGGGGTCTTACTTTACCTTTATTTTACTTTCTAATAAAGAATAAACTTAATCTTCATTTTAAAAATAAAGATAAAGTAAGTCTTTGTATTTATAGAATAAATATAAAGATAATCTTTATTTGCAAAAATAAAGGTTTAAGATTTTTTTTTCTATCGAAACGTACTTTTTTTATTTTCTTAGAGTAGCTTACAAAAAATTATGATATTATATAGTTAACCATAATACAGAATAGCATTTTTCGTGTATATAGTTTCTTGTATGATTCTTTTTTTTTGTGATGATAAGAAAGAGCATTAATAAACGTATTTTGTTGTTATACAAGGTATTTGCTTATTGCATGAAAAAATGTACGTTTATTCTTTGTTTAAAAAAATAAAGAGAAAGTATCATTACTAATTTCTATCATCAAATCGTGACAAATATTTCTATGAAAAAAAACTTGTAATAAAAGACATATTTTCAATTGTCACGTAACTGTTCTTTAATGAGGTGATTTGTATTAAAGATATTCAAAGAATCGGACGTGTCTTTCTTTATTGTTATTATTAAAATGATTTATTAGAAATTATCCTATAAATATTTCTAATGTGGGTGTAGGTGTGAGATGGAAAGAATACTCATACCCATACTCACACCCACAGACTCTATTATATGTTACAGAAGTATTGCATGTATTTGTTCTGAGTAAAACATACAACATCATATTACAAAAAATTTTCAGTTGAACAAAAATGGAGAGAAGCAATTTTCAGACTTTTTAAATACTTGTTTATTCGATTAAGATAAAAATATAAATAGAAAGTTGTATGCTACCTATTGTGTTAGTAAATAAATAAATAAATTAGTAAAAAATATGTCACACACGTGTATAACGATTAAGCATCATGTAAAGGTATGAGAAATGTAGTCTTTAGAATGAAGTATGGAGTGTTGATTAATCTGTTTTCTTTTTCTGTCGTTGTCGTTGTCGTTTGCAGCATGCACGTATTATATATACCATCGTTGCTCCAGGTAAAATAATAAATATCAGAAGTAGATCAAACATAGATCTTTGATAAAACGATAGTGTACTTTGAAATGGTACGAATCGATCTAGATTGCCATCTAATTTGACAAAGAATTCAATTTCTTCTACTGCTCGTTGTAAACCTCCGGCATGTTTCATTTCTAATGACATTTGTGTGACTGTCTTTTCGTATGTTGCATCCATCCACAATATTAATGCCTTGGTTTTGACGCTGTCAGGTGTAAATGTGTATTTAGTAAAGTCATAAGGATTTATCAAGGATTGGAATGCAGAAGGTGGTACAAATAATGATTGTCCAATGCCTCTATTAACGACGATCATTGCATTAGCAAATTGATCCATATTGAACGGCATGCACAATAAGGGTTTTCCAAGATAAAGGGATTCTAAAATCGAGCCCATCCCGCAATGAGTAATAAATATTTTGACTGAATTCTGTTGTAGGATCCATTTTTGTTTTACAAATCCTTTTTCAATTCGTACGCGTTGATTATTGTGTAAGACATTCTTGAATTCATCATTATTCAAATCGTCTAATACTCTTTGATATGTAACATAATTCGCACCTTGAAATGCTAATAACAGATAACTATTATCTATTTTCAATAGCAACTGAACAAGACCGTTTATCAAACTAGACATTCGGTCGTAAGAGATTATGGAACTGCTACCAAAAGCGCCATAGATGAGAGAACTAGACGGCTTCGATTTGATCCATCTTGTAAGATCATTGTCGATATCACCAGTAGGTGTTTCATTTATGAATACGCCGAGAAACTTCATATAAGGATCGGAATATGATGGTGTAAGAAAAGTGGGTGGTATACTAAGTATTGTCAAACATTTTGATTTAGGAAACATCACATTGTTTAATGAGAAAGTGTCATATAATGGTCCTGGTATTTGTGGCAATGACTGGAAAGCGTTGTACATCGGCAGTATTAGTCTGGGTACCAGTTTTGTTACTAAACGTATAGTGAGAGCGACATTGTATATTCGATATTTAATTTGAGTTAATTCTGTCGATGTTGTTGATGACCAAAAATTTGGCAAATTCAATTCAAAAACACTCGGAAAGAACGCTGAACCCTGTAAGACACACGGTATGTTTGTTTTCTCACACAGAGCATGCGCAAAAAAAACCATTTTACCAGCTACAATCACATCAAAACGTTCAAGCAACAAAATGTCTATGGCTTTGGTCAGTAATGGCAAGGAAGCTTCAGTCAACAAGGGCATGTTAACAGGAAATATGTCGAAAAAAGAATGATTAGCAAAAAGAGACATTGCATGATCGTGATCGCTCTTTTCTAGAATCCATGCATCAGGTGTGTCATTGCCATAGACAACGTGAAACGAAGGAGAAGAATTTACTTCTAGATCGATATAAACTTTAGACATTTGTTGAGTAAGAAATGTAACATTATGGTTGTTCATTGCTCGAGCGAGTTCCACCATAGGCGTCAGATGACCAGCGTAGCCCAAAGTGATAAAGAGAACGTTTAAGGAAAATGACCGGGAAAATAAGGACAATAGCAAAATGAATATCACATAACGGGATGTCATTATAGCAGTTTGAAGTTGGTTATCTTAAAAACAAATTTTATCGATTAATTCAATTCAAATATCGTCACTTACTTTTGCTGTACCACAATGATCAGCGAATAAAAAATGGTAGTATTAAGAGAACGATTAAAACAACGTCCGCTTGCTGTCTACTGCTTATTTCACTTTTTTTTGTTCTATCTGAAAGTAAAAATAATCCACAACTTTCAAAGGCATTAAGTTTTCGAGAACTGTAAAAAGACTGAAAATAAAAAAAATACTGAGAACACCTCGTGTACACTTTTGGCGAATTCTTTCATTCATATATTGCTCTTTTAGTGGATGTAAAGTCGAAGATCAGAGGTTAATATAATATCTATCCCCTACCTCATACCATAATTGAATGTCGTACTGAAACAAGCTTGTGAATTGACGAAACACACAGTGAGATTTGTGTTTTCATTTTGTCTATATTTGTTATTGCATTTGATTCAAATAAAAAAATATGATAAATAATCGATTGACGGTTGTATGCTTTCAAACTGATTTTGTTTTTATATTTTCTCACGGATGAATGCGTATATTTATTTTGCCCATAATACGTTGTTAACATTGATACAAATAAATGGTGATTGCTATGAAGAGCGTGACCGAAAAAAAAGCAGTGTCTTTTTCGATACTTTTCGTCGTTTGAAAGGAAAAAGTAATATATGTCATTGTATTAAATTAATTATATTTTTTGCCTTAGAGGATGGTTGTTTTGATCGTCAAAATACATCAGTTTGTAGAAAAAATATCACAGAACAAAATTTTCAAATCAAAGAAAGTTCTAATATTAAAATTGAATTAACAAGAAGAAATTTAGTTGACTATAACGACGACTTGAAAAGGACTGCGATTTAAATCTTGATTGATGAGATTGTCATTATGAATTATATTTTTACAATCAAACGAGATACATATTAATAAAGTACTTGATGAAGAAAAAGAAAAAAGTACATCGTTTTTTCTTTCTCTTGTAAAATACCTCGTCTAATTTTTTTTCTATTTCAATGAGAAAAAGATAGTCCATCTATTTTTTTAATTGAAACGTCCATTTAATAAAGTACAGATAGGTAAACAACTAATCTAGAATATAAATATCGATTAAGTCATTTTTCACAAAAATATTATATATTCGGAATTATTATCATATAAAGAAACATCTAAAAACTGAATCGTATAAGATTCTTTAGAAAAATACATACAATATTCGAGAATCAACATATAAAAACGTTTTAATTTTAGATGTCACACTTTACCGTTAATAGAAAAGTCAAAGTACGTCATTATTTTGTCTTTCAAATTCAATGATAAGCCCATTCGAAGAGTTAAGTAATAACTAAAACAGATAAACAAAACTGATCTTCAAATCATTGCTAATAAAAATACCACTGTTTATGTTTATTTTCATTTATAAGATCAATAAATAATTTGTGAGTAAGTGTGGGTGTTCTCTTTATATCAAAAAGGGACAATTACACCCTTTCTCCTTGGACAGCCGTTATTTATATATATGATTGATGTTATATCTCTTTCTTAACATATCCATTTGTGAAAAAATGATCTTTTATCTGATGAACGTTCTGAATTCAAGATACCTGCAAAAGTACTCGGCTGTCAATATGTTTGGAGAACCCTAAGACAAGCTCTGGATCTGGATTGTTTAGTGTTGATACCGCTATGTCTTTAAAAGTCACCAGTTGAGTAATTAAATAGTTCTTAGTAAGGCATATGATCGATAATCTCAAATATACTAATAGCCGACTATTTCTCAGATACGCTACTTGAAGTTTCTTCAATATATGATTACTCTGAGGTCAGTATATATTCTATAGAGCTACACAAATATCGAAATTATTTTCGATGTATTAAATTAAATCATGAAATGAATAATAAAATTGACATATAGTAAAAGTTGTTAGTTGAGCCATGTCACATCTCGAACATCATACTTTTCAAAAAGTTCTTGCAATATTTGAATATATTCTGTTGTTGATATTTATGTTTGACGAAAGAAACTGCGCCATTCATAATATACAAAGAGAAATCAACAATACATCTGTTCCTGTTTTTTGAAAGAGAATGCGTGAGAGAAATATTTAGAAAAAGTCATTTATTATTATAATTAATCGAATTAAAGAAATTTTACACTGAAATTTTAGTGATATGCATATATCAGGGATACTTCGATAAATCAAAATATATCTTTTGAATAAATGAAACTAAATGTAGAACATATAATGAAAATCTTATATTTTAACAATAACGAAAATTTTCGATCATTATCAACCAAAAAACAGCACTAAAGATACAAATATAATGATGTTACAACTACAATTATATATAAATATGAACAACATAAACCATTGACAAATTGTCACCAGTATTAATTTAATAATTTAATTCGATCTGAAGTTAAATCATAATTTATTCCGTGTACCTATATACTTACTAATAACTCACGTAAGAATATCTACTTAATAATAAAAGTAATGTATGAAAATATGGGATTTTAATTCAATAACAAGTAAATGTAGTTGTGTAAAACTGTAGCTTAGATGACAAGCTATCAGAAAAAATAAGGATGCTTAAGAAATACTGAAAGATAGCATCACACTGTTGAAAATGTTCCGTGACGGAATCAGGTTATTAAAAGGCTGTTGACATGAGTTTGATAGTGATATGTGTTAAGGACAACGTTCTTAGGCGTACACAAAAAAATCAGTTCAAATCGATTACGCTGTTGTAATGCTAGATCAAGTTTTTTGAAGAAAAAAAATCGAACCCAAAGATGAACCATTACGTAGATAGGTCGATGTATAATGTTCTTTTATCAGTAACTGATAAAACTTAGTATGAGACAACAGAATAAATAGAACGTAATTTTTCTCTGTTGGCTATTTTTATCATTATTATGTTAGTAGTTAGTTAAATATTTTGTAAAAAAAAACAAGACCACGTTGAAAATATCTGAAGGAATTTCATAAGCCCAAACATATTTAGGATAATCTCGTAGAAGATTAAGATTACAATGACTAATGTTGCAAAATAAAGTTCCATATATTAAACAATAAACAAAAAAAATATTACAATACTTCCGTGTATAATTCTTTCTCCGACGATAAACGCTTCTCTCTAATTCTCTTATTATATGGATGTGTAATTACTGACTATATTTAATCAATATACAAAAAATTTGTTATATAAATCTATAGAAAATCTTTCATTTTGGTTTGATTATATACTATAGTAAATGTCATAGCATCTGGTCGAAAAATAGTATCAGTTTTATTTGCCCATTCATATAATAAACCAACTGATTGATCATTTAATAATGTCAAGGATGAATAAGCTGACGAACCTGGAAATATCGTCTTTATGTATGTCCAATGTTCACCATTATCGTTACTTCTATATAGTGATAAATTACCACGAATAATAGATGTTTCAGCTAAACCTGTATAGAATAACTGACCCGTATTTTTACGATATATTGTTGAACCTTGACATCCAGTTAATGGTTGTACAAGTGTATCTAATATTTTTATTTTATTAAAAGTTATTCCACCATCATGACTATAGGCACCAATTCTTTTCGTTCCTAATGAACGAGAATTTATAAATATTGAATTTGCACTAGGCAGTAATTCAACAGCTTGACCTTCATTTGGAAAATGAGCGCCGAAATTATATTCTCCACCTAAATACCATTTATCAATTTGACCATTAAAATCATTCAACATAACATAACCAGTAGATAATAAACCATTATCATCTGAATGTATTGAATAATAAGCAGGAATTAATATTCGATTTGATTGTAATAGTAAACCACCAGGTGGTCCTAAACCAATCCATTTCCAATTACGTTTAGTAACATTGAGAATAATTTGTGGTTGAGAAAAAGTTAAACCATCATCATCAGAATATGTTTGCATAACAATAAGATTATTCTTACAAAATGGTACTAATATTCGTTGATTATATTTTAATTGTACAGGTGCGACATTTCCAACTCGAGTATACTTATCATTTGAAGAATTACCACGATATAATACTTGTAAATTTGACCATGTTTTTCCATTATCTAAACTTCGTTTATATACAATATCTATTTGTGTAGTATCACCACAATCGAACAGTCGTGCTTCGCCAAATGCTAATAAAGTACCTGTAGCAGTAGTTAAGATAGATGGAATTTTAATACAAAAATACCCAGCTTCACCACGTGTAAATACAATAACATCATCTTCCAATGATGATTTAAAACCAATCAGTAAGACAAGTAAAATTGATAATAACATCTAGCTTCAAAAACTAGTATATTTTATTATAAACATCTTTTCAGTTTTTTTTTACATAATTCTATATGCTTACTTCGTTTTTATAATTTATATTTGTTAAGGTAAGAATATTAGTTTATATTTAGTATCTATCGACATATACACAATACTCCTTTTCTATTCTTAGTTACTGATAAAATTTCACCAGAATAAATATAAATTTTAAGGAGTGTGTCATCCTTTCTTATTCTTTTCTGTCGTCGTCGTCATCAACATCATGTAAAAATAAGACAGCACACGAGTGAAGTATAAAGGATAGATATTGAAAATTAAGTTTTCATGTAATCAACAATAAACAGGGAATTATAGAATTTTCTCAAATATTTGTATCCATTAGTTTCTGTAAAGACTAAACGAAATAATGCGTTGAATCTGCGAAAAGTAAAGGATAAGCTATCTCGTTCAACATGGTCATAGTATGCTAATTAAGCTCAGATACTGTGTTTATAATCAATTCGACAAATTTCGAATACGTGCATTTAACTCAACACTTCATATTATCATTTATTACAAAGAGGATAAACGTGATATTGAATCTATCTAAGACAAATAGTTGAATGTTGATAAACGTCAAAAAAAATAATTAACACATTGATAAGACGTTATCAAAAAAAATGATACATATACACAATTGATATCTATAACAGCAAGCGACACATTTTACGAATCTCTCGTTCTTTCTTTCAAACATATGTATTAATCATCTATATATAT